AGTATATCGGCTTCTTCCTGTCAACGGTTTCTCAAATGAGGGCATCGCTGATGGCTTTGTTAGTGACGGAGAGATAAAGGTAAAGTATTTCCCCGTTATCAGGTTAAGACAAAACAGGTGGTTCGGAGAGGGCTTGCTTAAGATGGCGTAGAGTTTGCTCACATTCCTCTGTTCGTTCAAATATAGCCTCTTTTCGGAGGAGCTTGAAGAATGGCAGAGCGTGTTGAGAAGATTTCGCCACGAAGAAAGATAACGAGGTAACCATCCCGTTGAGGGATTGTATGGACTTCTTCGACCTTGGCGTGGGGAACTCCAAAAATGCTCGACATTTATCGGGGTTGGCGTCAATTTCCTTCTCAGTGAGGTAGAAGCCGAGGAATTTTCCTGCTCGCACCCCGAAGGTGCATTTTTTTTATATTAAATCGCATTTTTCACGCCCTTGCCTGGTCGAAGACTTTTTGCAAGTGGAATGTATGATCGAATTCCTCTTGGGATTTCACGATCATGTCATCCATATATACTTCGAGCGTGTCCTAGATTTGTGATCGGAAGACTTTGTTCATCATTCACTAGTACGTGGCCCTAACGTTTTTCAGATCAAAGGACATTAAGTTGTAGTAATAGTTTCCCGACGAGGTCATGAAAGCGGTGTACCTCTTGTCCTTCTCTGCCTTGGAAATTTGGTTATATCCCAAATATGCATCCATGAAGGACAAGAGTTTGCAACCGGAATAATTATCTACTAACTTATCAATGCTAGGCAAAGGATAAGCGTCTTTCGGGCAGGCCCAATTGAGATCGGTGTAATCAATGCACATTCTCCACTTTCAATTACGTTTTTTGACTAATGCAATATTGGACAGCCAAGTTGTATACCTGGATTCCTAAATGAATTTCGCCTCTTAGAGGTCTTTTACAAGTTTTTTCGCTGCTTCAATCTTCTCGTCGGATTGCTTGCGTCTGCACTGTGCTACTGCTCGACCTGATGGATCGATGGTAAGCTGATGGCAAGCGATTTCTGGATCAAGGTCGGGCATATATGCGGTGCTCTAGGAAAAAAAAACCAACATTGTCCTTCATGCACGTCTTCAGCTGCTCTTTCACCTCTTCGGGTAGTCTCGCGCCTATCCTAACTCCTCTGTTGGGGTTGTCCTTGAAGGTGATCACTTCGAAGTCCCCATCTGGTACAGGGCACATGATAGTTACAGAAAGGGAGCTACTCGAAGGCGATAGTGTGGACTTGTCTCGCTAGTTTCTTCTCGGGCTAGCTTTCTTTGCTGGGAAGATCTTCATCTCTTGCTTATTTAACGGCTTGTGGTGATGCGTCAATCGAACCCTTCCCCTTGGTAACTGCCTTGAAGCATTACCTTGCAACTTCGATGTCTCCATACAAGGTGGTAACGTGACCCCTTTCGATATAATATTTCATCTTGAGACGACCTATAGAAGGAAAAGTGATAAGCTCGGCAAGTGTAGGCCTCCCTAGGATGCACTAATACAGAGAAGGATCGTCGATGACTAAGAACTGAATCTTAATCGTCTTGGCAGTTTCTCCCTCTCCGAAGGTGACTAGGAGCTCTACGTATACTCATGGCTTAGAAGTAGCCTCATTAAACCCTTGACAATCTGAACCCACATAAGGAGACAGGTTCTTCTGGTCAAGTTTGAGGGCGCGAAACAGGCTGGTGTACATGATGCCAACTGAACTCCCCTGATCGACAAGGATTCGGCTAACATCGTTGTTGGTTAATCTGACTCTTATGAGTAGGGGAATGTGAGTGTTGGTGGAGCCTCCAAGGAGCTCGTTGTACCCACTGCGGGAGATGACCATAACGTTGGGAAAGGCTTCCTAGGGTTTGTGCAAGGAGAAATACGAAGGATCCTCGAGATAGCTGGGGAGGACAAAGTCCTCTGGCCGTGAAATAGACATGGCGACCAGCGGGGGAGGGATAGAAGTTGAAGCTCTTGTTTCTGTTTTCTTAGACTCTGGTGTCTCTCGTCAGGGGGCTTCTCCCTTCTTCGTATACTATTTCAAGTGACCCTCCTAGATGAGGATCTCGATGGCGTCCTTCAGGTGGACGCAGTCTTTGGTCATGTCGCCATGACTTCAATGAAATCGGCAATACTTGATCTAGTCGATGTTGCCCTTTGATGATGTTGGTTTAGGGAATCGTACCCCTTGCTGCTTGAATTCGACGTTGATACATTCAAAAAGGATATGCTCGCAGGGAGAAGTCAGCAGGGTGTATTCGGTAAAACGGCCAGCCATCCCCTTATGATCACGGGAACGATCGTCTCGTCGCCTATCTCTGTCGCGCCTGGAAGTTTCTTCCTCGTCCTTCTTTGAAGCTCTAGAACTCTCTTGGTCCTTCGAATCTCTAGCTTTATACACAACTTCCTTCTCCTTGTATTGAATTTAAGATTGTGCCCGACAGAGGAGTTCGACCAAAGAACGAGGAGGATTAATCCCTACCATTTTGCAGAAGTCACTCTTCGGCCTCAGTCCCTTTTCTAGAAGGTACTTCTTTGTGTGATTAGTCGTGCAGATCTCGATTACTTCCTTATTAAATCTGTCAATGTAATCACGGAGGGGCTCATCCTTGCCCTGTATAATACCTTCAAGCATGGCCTCAGATTTCGGATGATGCCTGAAGGCAGTAAAATTTCGGGAAAATTGCTCTTTCAAGTTCCTCCATGAGGTTACTGATCCCCAGGGAAGACTCTTGTATCAGACCATAGCCCCCTTCCTGAGGGTGATGGGGAACAACCTACGTTTGATCGCCCTGGTTACATTGTGATAGTGCAGGGTCTGTGGTACCATTATAGAGAGAGAGAGGGGGAGGTTTCTCCAGCCCACGAGGATGCGAGTGTCCATGATTTGCTGGGACAAGGGTCTATGAGCATCGTTTTCGTTTCTCGTGCATGATGATCTTCTAAGAGAATAACTGCGTCCACAGCTCTTGCTGCATCGAGGAGAGTGTCTGTGGCGACTTTAATGCTCTTCGTGAGGCTTTCCTGAATACCTGGTCTCTTAGGGGCTAGGGAGTGCTTGAACCTCCGGGGAGGGGTACGATCACGTCTTCTGGTGATATCGTATCCATGCTTCTCCGACTTGGACCTTCCTTGACTGGGGAGATGCTTCTAGATTCGTCTCGGTGACATTTCTAAAGAGGGGATCCTGATCGGGGAGATGGACTGAGGGATCTCCGTGGGGGCAACCATTCTTTGATGGTGTTCTCTAGCATGTGGATCTTTTCCTCTTACTGGAAAAGCAAGTAGTTGGATTTGTTGAAAGTGGCAATGAGGGCCGCGGTGCAGGGGTCGGCATCTTGAGGGACGAGGATTGGCTCGTAGACGTGATTGGAACTCTGGACGCGAGGCTTCACGTTTTCGGAAGGTGGAGATACGGGTTTTCCATCCCGATGATCGTTCTCTCAAGCAAAAGCTCCAGGAATGGGGGTTTCGTCGTGACGAGGACTGGTGATGACGGAATCTTGATGGATGTCATTGTTATGGTGAGAGGCTATGACGATGAAGGTTCGGAGAGAAAAAGCTTTGCTCTTTTGTATGGAAATATTAGGGGATCTTAGTTCAAAAAGACTGGGGAGTTAGGTTCCTACATACGGCGCCACTGATATCGGGTGATCAGAATGGATCGTCTTGGCCTTCAATGTAGGGCAGCAACGGTAATTGAGGAGAGGAGAGGGTGTACCTGCAAGGTACTCCGATGCCAAAGTATGTTTGGGTTAGAGAGAAAGCAAGTACGAGTGTTTAGGTATGAGTTGGAATGATTAGAATACCTGACCCTCTCAAGAGAGAGAGGGTATTTATGGGATTTCCCCAGAGCGGGACCAAGGTCTCCCATGTGGTCGAAATATCTGGTCGGCCAATGGGAGACTGCCAGGTGGAAGATCTAGCGCGTGATCTTTGACCTGATCCAACTATCCCTGTGAATTTTAGAGGGGAAGTTTGTTGCATGAACTGTCAAGCGTGTGAGTGGGATGTTCCCAACGGCTATATGCTTCAACGACTATATTGTGTCCAACGGTCATATTATGTCAAACAGCTAGACTGTCCTAATCTCCTTATAAAACCTGGCCTTAAACTAAACCGGATTGGACCTTACCCAACTGTGGGACATGTGTCAGTCCAGTTCAGAACAATTTTAATTTTTCTCTTTTTCTTCCATTACTTCCCTTGATTTTCCTTCAACTACTTCCTTCTCCAACTCTCCTTTTTTTCATCTTCTTTTATTTCTTTAATCTCAACAACTTCTTCTTCTTTTGTTGAATGACTTATTTCTTATTCATCACTTTCCTTAATGTTGCATTCTTCTTGGTTTGTATTTATAATTGTATTTTCATTCTCTTCATGTTCATCTTTGGTTTCACCGGCCTTTGTTTCTTCTTCTATATTTCACTTTTTCATTGTCCGAATCAATTTGTACAACAGTTTAATCATTTTATACAACAGTTTAATCATTTTAACATATTTTGATGACAAATCCACCAAACAATTTTTTTTCATTCTAAATTAGCTCTAGATAATTAAAATTATCAAAGGAGTTTTATTTCATTTTAGAGAAAATATAATGTGCAATAACGATATATAAAATAATTTTACATTGACAACTAATAAACCACGTATATCTTATAAAAAAAATTGAAATATTAATATAATATGACAGATGTGCAGAGTATATCTATTGAACTCTTCACAACTCCTAATTTTAAAGAAAATACAGCATGACCATTCTACACTCCCATCCATTAATCAAAATTCTCCCCAAAATAAACATTACCCAAAACTAACTTACCCAAAGCATGCTCAACCATCCAAAAAATGCTTCCATTTTTAGATCACAAATTCAGTTACAACCAATTCTAGACACCAGACATGTATAAATACACAAGCAACCACACAAACCCAATAAGTCCACACAGCATCTTGGTTTCGTAGTTTCTCAAATCCAATAAGATAAAAAAAAATTAAAAGAAACTATGGGTTTGAGAAACTCCTATGTTATGTGCTTAGCACTTATATTGTCTTTCTCTTCAATAAATTGCATTGACATAACACAAATTTTGGGACAAAACCCAGAATTCTCAACATTCAGCAAATATCTAACCGAAACCAAGTTGGCTGACCAAATCAACGCTGCTAAAGCCGTTACAATTCTCGCCCTCGATAACAAAGATATCGCTTCTCTCTCTGGTAAATCACTTGACGCGGTTAAAACCGTTATTGGGACCCACATTATAACTGATTTTTACGATGAAAAGAAACTCTTTGAAGCCATTGGAAGCAAGGTTGCGTTGGCTACACTTTCACCGGCTTCCGGCTTAGCCTCGAAGATCTACGTGGCGCTTATTAATGAAGGTGAGGTAGCTTTTAGTTCCGCTGTTGCCGGTTCGACTTTTGATACTAAGCTTGTTAGACCTGTGAAGATCGAAGCGGGAGTCGTTTCGGTTCTTCAGGTTAATCAACCTATTGTGAAGGTTGATGGTTCAGTTTCCGGTGCTGCCGGAACAGATACTTCACCCACCACAAATACCGCATCTGTGGTGGGTGAGGCACCTGGTGTAGCTCATGCAACTGCACCTGCTCCGAGTGCTTCTTCTCGTACCACGTTTGGATTCATTGGTGCTGTTATGGCCTTTGCTTCCATTTTTGTCTCTTTGTAAGCGTGATAATATTCATGTATTTCTAGAGAGGAAGTGATTTAATATTAATTGATAGGGATAATTAACTCTAATGAGTTGATTTTTGGTGTAACTTGGAAAAAAAATAATGTAACAGTGTTGATTTGTGTTTGTGGAATTCAGTTCTTCATATTGAAGATAATATATCCTTCTCTTCTCTTTTATTTTATTTTTTAATTATGTTTATGTGGATTTTTTTTTTGCAAGCTTTATTTTCAAAAACTAATTTCATTAAAGTAATTAGCATAATAAAATAGCAGCAGAACTAAAATCAAATTAAAACATAAGATGGAAGTATAACAAGTAGATTTTCAAATAAACATCTAAATGTACGGTAAGAAAAATAAATGTTATAGTTTTCCATGCCTAATCTATTGTTTTTATAAGAAAAATGAATGCTTTGTAGGTTAAAATTTTCATATATTTTTTATACAGTAACCTCCCCAAATTATTTTGCATAAAACATAATATAAAATAGAAATAAAAAAATATAGGGTTATTCTCTCTAGAGAAATACTTGCATGGAAACAAACCTAAATTTATATTTTTAAAAACATTCAATCAGAAGAGAGAAAAATTTTAATTTATTTAAAATTTTAATTTATTTTTAATTGAAACTATGAAGTGGTTGTAATATAAAGGAGAAAGAAATTTTTATTTTTATTTTTTAATTAATAAAATTATTATGATTGACTATGTGTATAACTACAAATTATGGTCGTTTCTACCTAAGAATTTTCCGTGTCTCCATAATCAACTAATACATAACAAATTGATCATTGAAATCCTAAATTCCACACCAAAATAAGACAAACACGCATTTACAAACCATAAATTAAAAGTAACTCATAAAAGTACAACAAAGCTGGATTTCAAGTAAACAATCAATTTTTTTCTTAGTATTCCGGCCAATGCAAATCATAGGAAAGTCTCAACATGAAGGTGTGGACATGTTTTAAAGGAAGTTATCTTCATAGAAGAATGAATTATTGTCTTTTGGGGAAGGATTATATCAACTCTGATTTGAGCAACCAACCTATTTATTTTTTATCGTTTTCCAAAGCTCCAAAAAAAGTGATAAAGGAATTGACTAAAATTTAGAGGAATTTTTTGTGGAATGATTGCGGGGAGAAAAAAAAGGTGTGTGCTAGGTGAATTGGAAGGATGTTTGTAGACTGAAAAAAGAGGGGGGCTTAGGTGTTCGAGACTTGGAAGCTTTCAATTAGGCCTTAATTTCTAAGTGGAAATGGAGTTGTTTGTCGAATGAAGAGGCGATTCAGAGAGGCATCCTAACTCATAGATATGGAAGATTGGATTGGCAAATGATTTGAAATGGGAAGAGTAGGAATACAAAAAAGGATTCATTATGGTGGAGGGATCTTATCTCTTCTAGAAGTTTTGACAAAGGAGTTTTGGATAGTTTTAGCATCGATGTTTCTTATAGAGTTGGATCGAGAGTCAACATTTTATTTTGGCATCATAAGTGGTTGGGGGCCGAAACTCTCAAGGTGGATTTTCCAATGGCGTTTGGTAATTCGAAGAATAAATTCGGGACTGTTTCGGAAATGAGGATTATTAGAGATGATTCTTGGCGTTGGAATTTTCTTAGTCGACATTGTGTTAAGGAACAAGCTTATGCGGAAGTCGCGAATTTGCTACTAATTCTGTAAGATGTTAAGGTGCCTCGGAATGGTGATGACAAAATAATTTGGCATCGCACCATTGAAGGAATTTACAGTGTGAATTATGGATTTTCTATTTTTGTAGGTATTAAATGCGATATTGTTTTGGACTCTATCTCAAAACAGGTGTTGTCTCGTATGTGGTCTACCAAGTTACTGTCCAAGATTCATGCTTTTGGGTGAAAGCTTATTCTAAATTGTTTATCCACTAGTAGGAGTGGAAATAGGTTGGGCCGAGCTAGGCTTTGTCAAACCTAAGTCTGGGCTGTCAAAAAATTGAAGTCTAAGCCTAGCTTGTAGCCTGTCATAGACTTATTTTTAGGCCTGAGTCTAGCCTTTTCTAAGGCCTCGTTAGCATGCTAGCCTACATAAAAGTCTGATATTTTAAATAGATTAACAAACTAAAATACCATTGAGACTTAAAGTTTGTTTACATTGACTTATTTTAACTTACCTATTAGCATAAGTTTGTTGAGATTATTTGTTTAAAATAACTTATGAAAATAACTTATAACATTGTTCATAAGGTGTTTTCATCTTATTTTCATAAGTTCTCCAAGATAACCAATTTTATTTATGTATTTAATTTAAAGTACAAAATATAACATAATGATAATAAAAAAGGTATTCATATTTATTTAAATAGACTGGTCTGTTAGGCTTGAAAGGCTTTTTTTCATGGTCTGAGGCCTGGCCTTTTTAACTTAATAGGCTTATAAAAAAGCCTAGGCCTTTTCTATTTAAAAAAAAAGTTTGGTATGGCCTGAGCCTGTGTAGGCTAGGCCTATAGGCCCCTGTTATCGGTCTGCCCTATTACCACCCCTATCCACTAGAGATCAATTGGAATCAATGGGAGTAATTCAAAATTCGCACAGTACAGTGTGTGTGTTATGTTTTCAAGAATCGGAAGATCCTGATCACCTATTTTTTCGAAGCTCCAAATCGTCAAAAAATTTAGTTAAGCATTTTGTCTTAGTTGGGGCTACATAGAGGTTTTGTTGTTGTTGTGAGTTTTGAGCATCTCAACTTCTTTTCTTTTACTTTGAAAGGGACTGTGTCATGGAATAAATAATTGGTATTATGGTTTACAACTTGTTGGTGTATTTGTATTATGAGAAACAATATCCTTTTAAAGGAGATTGTTGGAATAAAATTTGTTGCTTAGAGATGGAACATTATAGGTTTATAATCTAATTGTTTTTGTAGTTTGTATGAGTGGAACAAATATCCCTTATTGTATCTTAACTTGCTTTAACCGTTGTTTTTGGATGGAGCACCCCTATTATTCCAATTTATTATCAAAAAAGATACTAGATGACTTAAGGTGTTGAATTTCAGTGATAAGACTTTACTTACAGTGAAATTTGTGATTAATTTCTCTTTATGACTAGCAAACTTGAAAATATATATAAGATAACTTGTACTAAATACACACTTAAACATTTCTATTAGACACTTAGTAGCAAAGGCATAATAGAACATATAGAGCATTCACTCTATACCAGAGGCACGTTTCATCCAGAATTTTGTGCTCATCATTTTATTAAAGTTTTTTCTTTAACTAGATGCAATGAGTGACTAGACTATCTCAATACCAAAGTGACTTGAAGTGTTTCTCACAATTTTCTTCTATTTTACTAGAGGTATAAATTAATAATTGTTGATTCTTGATGATGTAACCATATGCACGAGTCAGAGGTCCTTTTATGGGGTAATGGTGATGAAAATATGAAGATATTTTGGATAAGTTGGGATAGCTGTGTTTGTCTAAAGAAGATGAAGGTTTAGAATTTCAATTTTACTTTGATTAGTAAGTGGATTTGGAGGTTCTTAATTGATTTGGAGGTTATGTAGATTGATCCAATCTCTTTTAGGTATGGCGATAACTTGGTGAATTTTCTAGAGGGGGTTTTGAAGCGTAGTTTGAAGAAATTATCGAGTTAGTTAAGGGATGTGAGAATGGTTTATAGTTTGAATTCTGATGGGCAGGTTTAGTTTTCCACCACAACATTTCTTGTAAATTGGGGACAGGATCGGTTTTCAAATTATGGGATCATTGTTGCTTTGGCACTGTCCAGTTTAAAGTGCTTTTCCCAAATTGTATGTAGGTTGTTCTACAACGGAGTTTAAGGTGGCATATATGGGCTCGTGGGTGGAAGCTAAATGGCTTTGTGATAAATTATTATTTAGGGAGATGCTTGAGGATTTTATTGGTTTGACTTCAATATTGAGTGATATTTGTCCTAAGCAGAATCGGGATGATATAGTGATGTGGTGGAAAAACTCAGATGGTTTTCGATGAAAATAGTTATCGGAGATTGTATGCTCTGAAATACTCTAATTTTACTCTAGATTCTACAAGCCTAAAGGTGTTAAGGAAGATTTAAAAAGTTAAGGTTTTGATTAAAGTAAAGTTGTTTGGGTGGAGGCTAGTTTTAAATAGTTTACCTACCAGAAGTGAGTTGTTTAAGAGAGGTGTGTTGCATGATGTTATGTTGTTAGCTTGTCCCGTGTGTCAGTTGTGAAATGAAGTAGTAGGCCATTTATTTTTTTGCTACAGTGGTACGAGTTTGGTGTAGGGGTTTTTCTTCACTGGTTGACCAGTTTAGGTGATGCCTTTTTTGGAGGGGATGGCGACAGGAATGACGATGTTGCGTTACGGTGTTTGGAGCAGATTTGTTTCAGTTTAGACAAGGTGGTTCGTCCTTCTTTTTGTTCTTTCTTTTGGCTTCTGGTATGTTGGTGTTCATGGTTGAGTAGGAGCAATGTAGTATTTAATAGTAAAAATTAGGTTGGGATTGATTTTCTGTTCTGGTGAAAGGTAAAATTGATTTAGATAGGGAGGTGTAGAATGATAATCCTTTGATGTAAGTTGAGGTGTAGTGATTTTCTGCATATACCTAATCTTGCTTTGGAATTAAAATATATTATTTATATATACTCATTCACCTTCGAGAAATATTTCATGAGAAAAAGGTGTGGGAGATCAAATCACCACACTAGAATGTCATATCTAGTGACATGAAGGTGGTTCATCTCATAACTTCATATTAGAACACTTTGTAACTTCTTTCATGTGTTTTTCACTCTTACGTGTTTTTATCTTATCAATTTAAAAATATATAAATAAATATTCATATAGGGGCCCAAATGGAAATATGTTATCTTCATCTACTTTCTTCCCAATTATCAGAAGAAAAAGAAGTGTGGGTTCCATTTTCTCTCTCTTTACATTTTCATATTTGATTTTGTCTTGCACATTTCATTGAAAGTTATCTCTCATAAGTTTCTGTTTTATCT